CCTAGGTTACATAATTTTCTGTCAGATAAACGTGTTAAAGATAGTGATCCATAGATATAAAGATATATAGACAATGCATTTTAAATTGGCGCGAATCAATGAGAAATTACATATATTTTTCTTTCTTTTGATAATATAATTGTTTTATTCATACTTTCAATAATATAAATAATGAGTATTCAATAATATAAATTCACGTATTCAAATTAAAATGAAGGTACTACATATTTTCTCATTAGGTTAAAGAATAATGTTCTGAGTTTATCCTTCACGATTAATTAAGATTGTATTTGAATTTTGAAAAGGATTTTAAACAATTTATGATTCGTGTATTTAAAAAAAAATATTTTAAATTATACATATAATTCGTAATAATTATAGTAATAAACATTATCTTAGCTTAATAAATTATAATCATCTTTCATCAGTTCTATTCAAAGATGGATATAATTATTGCGCGCGTTATATTACAAAAGCGATTGCTAGCAATTCGCTTACTTGCGAATGCTGCTTTTAATCGAGAAGAGCTGAATAATTGGAAACAGGCACATCGTTCAGTCAGCTGACCTGTCTTGTGATAGCAGGCTCAGTTGTGAAGCTTGACTCGCTGTAATAGACTGGATATACTTCAGTAAAATTCACGTCTCGTAAGTTTCTTACTGTCATTTATTTTCGTTGACTGTAGATTACCACGCTCTGCCTTGATTCACTATATAGCCAAAGCAACTACAAAGATTTCGTACTATATAGAGGAAATCGGAGATTTTTGCAAAAAAGACTGGCGCGTATAGTATCGATCGTGCCAGTTTGAATGCGCCATCGTTTTTCGATCCGGACGAGAGTTTGTACGGTTTAATCGCTGTCTATGACTAGACGGAATCACTGATACCTGTATATACTTACATAGAAAACGTTCTATTTCGACGACGAACACATCGATTGGATTTTACATTCTTATTAAAGCGAGCAGACTGTCTCGCGGGTTCGAAGAGGGCTACGCCTACTTTTTAAATGAACTACTCACGTGAATTTTATGATGAATGGATGCGTTAGCTGACATCGACTTTCTCACCGATTCTCTTCGTAATTGACATAGACCGCGTGTAAGGAACATACAATCCGGAATATATTGTTCACGATCGTTGTCTTTTTATCCCTCGTTTTTTCTCATATTTTTGTTTGTGTGCGATTAGTTGCTGTTAATTACTATTATCAGACTGAACTAGTATAAATCTTTAATTTTCTAATCGTGCCTCACGGGTTGGTCTTAATTTTTTGAAATTGTTGTTAAATCAAAGCTTAATCCTTTTGGAATGATTAACCACACACTCTTCGTATTTCGTTATAATAATTTTTCCTTTAGAAAATGTATATTTTAGAGGTGTTAATTTAACTTTTCTTCAATTAAATGTTTATATTTCCATTGGTGTAGTTTCATTTATATCTCACGACCCAAAATATTTTCAGCTGTTTGTTACTTTTACTTGAATAATAATTCACAATGACGAGCCAAGGGTTGCCAAAAATCAGTAATGAAGAGAGGGAGGCCAAATTTGGCTATGTATATGCTGTATCTGGTCCTGGTTAGTACATAATGTATGATATATAATATTTTTATACTTTTAATTTTAATGCATATTTTTGTTTCTTTATAGTGGTTACAGCTGAGAAAATGTCAGGATCAGCTATGTATGAGTTGGTCAGAGTAGGATACTATGAACTAGTAGGAGAAATTATTCGTTTAGAAGGTGATATGGCCACTATCCAGGTATAATAAACTTTTCCAATATATTTTAAAATTTATTATTTTAATTTTATGTTAGCTTTAGTTATTATATTAGTATACTTACATTTTATTATAGGTGTATGAAGAAACCAGTGGTGTAACTGTAGGTGATCCTGTCTTACGTACTGGAAAACCATTGTCCGTAGAACTTGGACCTGGTATACTTGGCAATATCTTTGATGGTATTCAAAGACCATTGAAGGACATCAACGAGCTTACAAGCTCTATTTACATCCCAAAGGGTATTAATGTGCCAGCATTATCAAGAAACACTGTTTGGGAATTTAATCCATCTAATATCAAAAATGGTAGTCACATTACTGGCGGAGATCTGTTTGGTGTGGTTTATGAAAACACATTAGTGAAACACAGAATGATTTTGCCTCCAAAAAGCAAGGGTACTGTAACTTATGTTGCACCTGCTGGAAACTATACAGTATCTGTGAGTTATATATCAATGGACGAATAATTCAATTATTTTACATAGATCTAATATTTTTTATTTTGCAGGATGTTATTTTAGAAACAGAATTTGATGGTGAAAAACACGAATATACCATGCTTCAGGTATGTAAATAATTTCTTCTTTAACGTTAATGTTAATAGTATTAATATTTAATGATAACAGTAATATGATTTTAAATACGCAGGTATGGCCTGTACGTCAACCTCGTCCAGTCACTGAAAAATTACCAGCTAATCATCCTTTGCTTACTGGTCAACGAGTCTTGGACTCACTTTTCCCGTAAGAATTTATTTAATCACTTTTATACGCAACTTATAGTATTTATTAACAAAAAATTACAGATGCGTTCAAGGAGGTACTACAGCAATTCCAGGTGCTTTCGGTTGCGGTAAAACTGTAATTTCGCAAGCTTTATCAAAGTATTCGAACTCTGATGTTATTATTTACGTCGGTTGTGGAGAACGTGGTAATGAAATGTCTGAAGTACTACGTGATTTTCCCACTTTAACGGTGGAAATTGATGGAGTCATCGAATCTATCATGAAGCGTACAGCTTTGGTTGCTAATACTTCAAACATGCCTGTAGCTGCTCGTGAGGCGTCCATTTATACGGGTAAATTATACGGATGTTAATAAAAGAAAGGCAAAACAAATTTAAAAATAACATCTGACTTTTATTTATCAGGTATTACTCTATCAGAGTACTTTAGAGATATGGGTTATAACGTGTCTATGATGGCTGACTCGACATCTCGTTGGGCAGAAGCTCTTCGTGAAATTTCTGGTCGATTAGCTGAAATGCCTGCTGATTCCGGTTATCCGGCCTATCTTGGAGCTCGTTTAGCTAGTTTCTATGAACGTGCAGGAAGGTAATTCCAATTAGCACGGTAATATACATATGTTAATATTATTGATATTAAACATTGTTTACAGAGTGAAATGTTTGGGTAATCCCGATCGTGAAGGTTCTGTCAGTATAGTAGGTGCTGTATCACCACCAGGTGGTGATTTTTCTGATCCTGTTACTAGTGCAACTCTGGGTATCGTACAGGTACTAATAGAATTAGTATTCATACATCTATAATTTATTTTTTTATTTTCACTCATATAATTTGTTTATTTGTCTATATTTCTAGGTATTCTGGGGTCTTGATAAGAAACTCGCACAACGAAAACATTTTCCATCCATTAACTGGCTTATTTCATACAGTAAATATCTTCGGGCTTTAGACGATTTCTATGATAAAAATTTCCCGGAGTTTGTTCCTTTGAGAACGAAAGTAAAGGAGATCTTACAGGAGGAAGAAGATTTGTCAGAAATTGTACAGTTAGTCGGTAAAGCTTCTCTTGCTGAAACAGATAAAATTACTCTAGAAGTTGCGAAACTTCTAAAAGACGATTTCTTGCAACAAAACAGGTAGAAGTTTTCTTTCACCACGGTTATATTTGAGATTGTTCGTTGAACTTAATTTCTCTTTTTTTTTTTTTCATGTTAGTTATTCACCATATGATCGATTCTGTCCATTTTACAAAACTGTCGGAATGTTACGAAACATGATCGCATTCTACGATATGGCAAGGCATGCAGTTGAATCTACAGCACAATCAGACAATAAAATAACGTGGAATGTCATTAGAGATAGCATGTACAATATTCTCTATCAGTTGTCTTCTATGAAATTTAAGGTAAACATTACTGATTTTATTTGCATGTTTTAAAAATATGTGCAAAATATTCCTTTTTTTCCTTCGTGTAGGATCCAGTGCAAGATGGTGAAGCAAAGATCAGGGCTGATTTTGATCAGCTACATGAAGATATTCAACAGGCATTTAGAAATTTAGAAGATTAATTATCAGAAGCATTCATATATACATAAGTTCTCTATGTTCAGGAACCTTATGCTGGTCATTTAAGGATGTCCTGAATCTACCAAACAAAAATATAACGAATATTCGTAATCACGTATCGCACACAAAACTGTTATATTCTTAATAATTACAAGAAAATTGTTGTATATAAAAAAAGAGTTACAAATATAAAATTTATTATAATTTTATGTGTATTATCCTACATTTAAACAAAATCATACGTGATGGCTGAACCTTTGAAGTTAATAGGACGTCCTTAAATGCATTTCCAGCTTTTGCAAGTATTTATATATTAAGTACTATAACAAGTTATTTCAAATCCTTGAAATGAAGTATGTAATTAGTTTAAATTGTTGAAAAACAAGATGAGATGGCGATTCAAGCTTCCATCTATTTTATTTGCTGTAAAAATGAAATTTAATCATAGAAGGGTCAATGTAAAAAAACTTTCATGTGTAAAATGAGAGTAAATGCGTTATAAGAAGCTTTCTATTCATCCATATATGTTGTTTTCTTAAAAAGAAAAAAATCTTTCTGTATTTTGTTGCAGCATAGGATGAAATAGTAGCTTTTTACAAATGAATGGAATTTCAATTAAAGAGTATTAAATATTGTATTATAATAATATATTATGTAAACGTGTTAAGTGACGAATGCAGACATTACATAAAAGTAGATGTTATTTTAAACGTTAAAACCGTTAAAATGTGACTTGAAAGTTTAAAAAAAAGATGTCAAAATGTTAGAACTGTTGAGGTGCAGGGTCTTTTATCGTTAAAAAGAAAATATAAAGAAAAATGCATCGTAAACAATGTTCCAGTAACTTCGACATTTCCATTGTACCATATGTAAAAAACGAATAAACATTATACATAAAAAGACCAACCTTCGTTCAAGATTGTCAATGGTTAAATAAAAATAACAATATATATGTTTTCGGTAAATTTCATTTTAATAATAATATAACAATAACCTTCGCGGTATGTACATCAACGATATATTACAAACCAGTGTTTAATTTTTTCACTGATTCTGACGCATTTTCAGCGTTCAGGAGTCCTAGGTTGAAAAAAATATGTTTATTGCTATATGCGTACGTATATGCATATGTACACACACGTGTATATATATATATACATATACATATGTATGTATATATGTATATGTATAAATATACATACATATCAATACGTGTACGATTAATCTATATTACATTCTCAGTTTCTAGATCTTTTTTTTTACGAAGTACCTACTCTACATTTGTTAAAACATTATTAAAAATAAAAAATATTTAACGATTTTTGTAAAGATGTAATTGTCATATATGTATAATTTTCATCGCATTCTTTTTGTTTATATTACAACTAAATGTTCTTTCTGTTTCAATTTTGAAATTAACTGTGGTTATATTGTTTAAAATTATATTCGAAAGTTCCAAATCAATGCTCAATATTCACAGCCTTGGCTCGTTCAACGTACACGAGGTAATTCAATTCAGTACACATACATACATAAAAATAAATTTCTTTGTTCGTAAACCCTACAAAGAATAGTCACAACTTCACCAGCATTTAATAATTAGCAAATGTTATCCATGGTATGTTCATGAATATACAATCGAGGTCTTAATAGTTCAACGTATTTAAATATTAAATTTGAAGCAATTTGTTAAACATCAAAGAAAAATGTATAATTTAGATATAAGTAAGATTATTTGTTAGAGGCAGAAGTATACATGACCATACCATTAGGACCGTGCAATATCCCAAACAACAAAATTTTAACATGAAATTTGGTGTAATTTCTATAAAACCAAAAATTATAAGAGTAAATACTTCTGACCACTATGCGATCAAACTGTATATCCTAATATTTACAAAAGAAGCATAGCATTAAAAACTAATAATTTTTTAAGGACTCAAATGAACGATATCAACATTCGTTCCAGTGGAGGATGATATTTGTGACCTGAGCTGAAGATTCTCGCGTTTTAATTGTGTTACGAGTTGTTTCAAAGCAGTTATTTCTTGCCGCAGTTTTTCATTATCGCGTAAGCATTGACCCAGTCCTTGATTGGCTGTTCTTAATTCCGTTATATATTCACAGGCCTTTGATAAAATTCCACCTTTACTCTGGAAAAAAAAATCGTGGAAAATATGTCATTATTAAATGTTCCATGTAGCTGTATATTTTACAAGTCTAATTTAATACCTGAGTTTCATAATTTGCCTTTCCTTCACCACTGCCACTGCCGCTGCTACCATTTGCACCTGCATTGCACTCGGGAATAATTTTTCCCAATTTTGCAATCCAATTGTTTATTTTATCTCTTCGTCGACGTTCAACTTCATTGTGAGTGGCTCGTCTTCTGTCATCTCTCTAAAATAATTAGAAATGAAATTCATTTATTACAAATGAAATAAAATTCAAAGAGCTTCAAGAAATAAAGGAGATTTATTTACTTATACCTTTTTTAAAACAGTAGTACAATTTCTTGGTGTCTCTATTTGTAGAGTAGTGGTCCTGGGAACCAATGATCTAGATGTCTGAGCAGTAGTGAAAACATCGTTGGCATTTCCAATAACATAGAACTGGCCATTTAACGGAGATGTTAGAACCTGTACAGTATTACTTCCTGGTTGAGTAACTGGCAGTTCTATCTCATTGCCAGCAGTGGTGCCATTTACTTGAACTACTCTATATGCAAGAGCTTCTTGGTAACGCATTCCATCTTCCCCAACAGGTTCTCCTGTGGATGATTCATAATCCGAATTTTTGGAAATTAATAATTCAATTGCTTAAAATCAACATTGATCAGCTTCATTCTCCAGTTACATTTTTTATTTTTTATTTCATAATTAGAGAAAATTAATAACTTTACAAACATTGTTTTTTGCTTTACAATTTATATCATGCAGTCAATAAACTTACGGATGTATATCATTTGCTTATTTTATATGTAAATACTCAGGCAAAAGCAAAAAGTAATCAATTTGACTCTTGAAAATAAAATGCAACTTTTAATCGTGTACAACTTGAACATCAATTTTTGCAATATAAACATTGTAAAAGGTATATTTATTTACCTTCGCAATCCACGATTTCCGCTTCCTCAATAACAATTCCTGTGCTCCCGTCATCCTTCGTGTTAACAGTACTGTAAAACAAACGTAAGCACGTTGAAGAATGGATATGTAACTTATCTATAGAGTTACGTCTATGCCTATTACTTCCACGACCGTTGTCCTAAGTCTTGTAAGTGCGCACTGTGCACTACGTGATGACCTTGAGGAGACCTCGAGCGAAACAGGAGGGATAGGTGTTCGCATTATCAGCCAGTCGATATTTAACATAAACACTACCTGACATCCTGCTGTTCGAGATGCTGCTCCAAAATATCCATTTTTTTTCTACCAAAAACGTTTGAATTTGTCAAAATTCACGTGAGCTGGTCACGGGACACGGCAACGAGGTCATGTGGTTCACAAGATGGCGATTCCCGACTATAACGTCATCTTACGTTGCTCAAATTTATCACTATTTTCAATTTCATCCAATATACCGATTGCTAGTAACTAAAATTATTCAATGCATTGACACACATGAGGTATATGAATAGACATTGCATGATCACCGACGAGGTATGTGAATAAACCAAGCATCTTACGGGGTTTCGTTGCCCGTGATCTGAAATACCGATATAGTAAAAAATGACTGGTTTTTTAGCGCACTCTACGTTTAAACAACGGTGAATTGGAGAATTACATCAAGTAAAACAATTGAGGTTGGTCAAATAGTGCACCAGCAACATGATTTTTGAGATCTATTACGGTGTTGTCAAACTTTCAATACCGAAATGTGAAGCTAGTAACTAACCGAAATCATTCTGTTGTATATTAAAAAGTGTTTTATCCATCTTTTATGGATCACAATTTTTTCAATATATAATAAATTTTAAAATTATTAATACATGGTTATGTATAAATAATTTATATTGTATTACATTCTTAAAAACAATTTTTAACTAAATAAATTTTCAATTTTTAAATTATTTTAAATTATTATTAACCTTAAATTATCAAATTTGTTATTTTATTTTTAACAATTTTATAATTATGCAGTGCATTAATTGTGACAAATAATATAATTTCTATAATTCATTAGTTAAAAATTACGTTTATTAATGAAAATATTATTCGAAATTTTTCTATAGGCAACTACTTTGCCTATCAATATTATGATAATAACAATTATTTATTTATTTGTTATTTATTTAACATAAATCTTTAATATTTCATGAAGATTTAACGAAAAATATAGACATATATACGAAGTATATCCTTATATATCTCGCAAAATCGACTAAAAAAATATTTTTAGAAATTTGGTACA